GTGTGTGTGTGTTTAGCTAACTGGAATTTTAAACAGATGCTGCCCAGACATAAGCCCAGGGGAAGTTTTGTCAAGCATTTACCTTTATATATGCTCAAATTAGGGTAACAGGAAAGTACATATTCCTTCTGTTGCCCTGGGAAAAAATCACTTCTATACACCAAAGCAGTACTGTATTCTTGCGCACGCTGAGACTCTGTTAAATCCATAATAGACTACTTCTGTTAGTCATTGTTAATATTCTGCAGTGCAGTGTAACAGAATGATGAATGATACTTTATCAATGACAGATTGAAAAAACAAACCACCCATTGATTCAGAATTGGTGGTTTCACTTAAATGTAATAGATGAGAATGACATTCAGTAATGAGTCCCAGATCCCTGACACAGGGATCTCTCGCAAATCTGAAAAACGTGTCTCGCTGTTTACCCAGAGCTCGATGCACTTAGAGTAATTGCCTAAGAAGCAGAGCTGTTAAAACGCGGTGGGCATTACACCAGAGTCTGCACAAGAGCAGGACTTCTAAATACATTGACTTTTGTTAATCAACTGCGCTTGAATTGTACTGACAAAAACTCAGCGTATGGTAGTGCATTGAACGATGTCAATTAAGGAAACACTGCTGAAGGGGCACATTTCCATTCTGGAGAGGCTGAACATCCAAACAGATTTGTTTGATATAATCTCAAATAAAGAATCCTTTTTAGCTATACTTTAAGCTGGGGTGGTTTTGTTTTCCCCCTCTCTGGGATGACATTTATTTCAGCCTCTCTAAATCCTATTCTCCCTATTGACAAGCTGCATGGCATTGATTTGCACTGGTCTAAAAATTCACCACTGCCTTTTCAGTTGTGAAGCTGGTATTTTTGGAAAAGATTCTCCTCTTACCCCTGCCCTGCAGCCCAACTCGCTTCTTCCTGCCCCCTCGCAGCTCCCCTGGCAAAAACAACAAACCAAAAAAAACCCCCTTGCTGTTTTGAGCAGAAAATGTAAAAGTCCGCAGAGAGCAGACAACTCCTAATGAGTTATAGCTCCGTTTCTGTGTGCTTCCAGAAATCTGTGGGGTGCTGCCCTGAGATTCGCAGATGCTGCTAAGCAGAATTGCTGTCAGGATCGTGTATAATCTGGGTGCGTGTTTGCTCACGTTTGTGCCATTAGTCGACCATTTGCACTAACGACATTTTCTTTTTCCAAGCTTTCATCGCCATGCAAGCTTTTTCCAAGAGGTGCTTTTCTCTGGTTCCTCCCCATAAAGCTTTGAGGTTTTCCTGCATCTCCATTTACAACAGTTGTTAACATTTACGCCTAAGACGACATGTTGCTCCCCAATGTCTGCTTATTTCAGATTGCTAATGCTTTCCTGATTTTAAAAAGTAGCTTCAGAGAGGAGGATGCCCTAACAGAACACGAGTCATTTGAGAGCAGATTATTTGGAGTCCTTTGCTTCAAAGCAGCCAAAGGTACAGTGCAAACTGAATATGCTTCTCGCAGTTTAGTCTCCTCGATGGCACTGTTGGTCCACTGGTGGGATCTCTGTCTATATTGCCCTCTTGTTCAGACGGCTCTTATGCATGTAACTCTTGTCTGTGATCTGTTTGTTTTAAAACCAGAGTCACTGCAGACCGAAGCGTCCAGTTAGGAATTCCAGCCCCTACTGGAGAGTGTTGCGGGCAGATCTTGCTAGAGGCTACCTTCTGACGTGTTGTTTTTTTTTAATTACATGTGTATATAGGAGAGCTTGTTTATTAGACTTGTAAGTAGACGTTTAAAATGGCCTTAATTTAAAAATATATTTTGGGTGGGGAAAACATCTGGATGCAATTGTCCAAAAAAAGTAGGGACCATCTAAAGTAGAAGTGTTTTCACTCTGTTCCTTTTTGGGGGTAGGGTAGGGGCGAGGGGGTGGTTGTGGGAAGGGGGTGGTTGGTGGGGTGTATTGTCTCTCCTGCCCCAAGACAGGGCAGGCTAGCTGCTTTATTTTTAACCCTTTGAGAGTCCACGCGATGAGTTCAGTCCAGCGCCAGCCCATTTCAGCCCTTTCTGCACTTCGCTTCCTAGCAGACTGGCCTCTTAGCAGCATGCGTGCGCCCTTCACCAGCAGAAGAATTATTCCCTTTCCCTTTTGTTAAACACTCTGTATTTAAAGTTTAAAACGTAGAGCCAGTGTGTTCACAACAAGTAGAGCTCTTTTTGTTTTAGTTAGCTAATATCACTTTCCATTTAAATTCACCTCACAGGGACAGTATGTGTGGGAAATGATGAGCCATTAGAATAAAGGGATGATACATGCGGACATCACGGCAAAGTAGTGCCGGATGAGAAAATCGGAGGTATTGGTCCGTATTATTTCAGTGGTAAATCATTTTTGAGCGTCTCGTGTCTCAAAGGGTTAATGTCCAAACATGCCTGCTGATTCGTTTCCGTATAGCTGATGTTTTTATAAGAATTTCCCAAAACAGACTGTTGCATTTGCCAATATTTTGGGGAAATAATAGGAATAAACTTTCAATGTATAGAATACTGTGATTTCAAAAAGTAGGTTTCTGCTATTTATTGCAGCTTAAGGGGGGGAAAGGGGAGCTGTTTTCCATTGTATATAGTGTTGACATCTGCATTCTCTTTACAAATGGATCCACGCAGGCCGAGTCGAGGTAGCTCTGTGTGCTGCATGCATGACTGACCACAGGCAGCATCGAACGCATCTGTCTCACTGCTGCTTGTGCATGAGAGTGACCACTTTGCCAGCATCCTTTAACTGTGCACAACCTTCCTGGTCAGAGAACCCCGGCCTAAAGTAAGGAAACAAATAGGGGGGGGCAGAGTTTGCAGATTCGTTCGGGAAGAAACGCTGGGTCGTTTGCGTGCTGTTTTGTTTGGGTTTTTTGTTTCTTGCTGTGCGCTGAGAGTCCCGGTGCACCCCACTGAACCAAGATGCTTGCTTCCGACTTCCTGCTGGGTGACTGAGCGCCACGCTAAGCTGGCATGAAAGCAGTAGCTGGCAAAGAGGTGTCTTTTTCAATTTTTTTTAAACTAACTCCCACCGGTGTTGGCCCCTGCCTGTGTTATTTTTGACACGTGCTTTTCCTGTAGAAACAGTGTTTCCAAGCTGCCCTCCCCGTGCGCATGGTACTCGCTCAGAGCCCCCCTTGCTGCACAACCTGGGAACGGAAAGCCCCTCCACAGGCAGTGGTTGATGTGTCTGCTGTGCTTACAGGAGACGAGCGTTGTGACCCACATGTGGAGCCCCTGTCACTGTGATGGCAATGTGAACGAGCACTTAGCATTTATTCTATGTATGTCCTTTTCCAACGAGCAAGAAATGTGTAGTGGTCCTGTCCTTTGTACTTTCTGTTGCGTATTATTTACCCTGCGCAGTGTAGGCATGGATTGCATGTCGGTTTTCTACGCGGGCACCATGACGACATGATGAGAACTGTGTATTATAAATCATTTTTACCTTTTTAAACAGAATCATTGTGTGGAGTTTCTATACTGCAAAACTGAACACTACATTAAGCTCTCTTCATGCGTGTTATTTATTTTTTGGTGGGCGGGAGGGGGTGGTTCTCCCTGCAGTGTGTATTCCCTTATGTGGGCTTGACTGACTGTATCCCAATAAAGGCCTGAAGGGGTAAAGCGTTTACTGTTTTATTCGGTAATGTGACCTGGGACTGCAGAGGCAGCTGCGGAAGAGCGTGTTGTAGGAAGCATAGGATGGGAAGCAAATAGGTAGTGGGCAGCACTGGAAATCCAGCCGTGTAATAGGACAGACCAAGTCCTTGAAGCAGCTGGAATGTTATGTGACGATTTGATGCCAATCACGCGATGAATATGATGACAGCCTTGTCCAACACACCTATGACAGACTGCGCTGCTTGTGGGAAGATGGATCCAGTAATGGTTTTACTTTGGACTTGCCCTCAGAATCTCTCTCGTGTGCCCCGGCTGGTCATAGGAAGTCCGTGGTGCTGCTCATTGCCTTTCCCAAGAGGCTCTTGCTCTTTGGCTGTGGCATTCGCTGCTCTGGTGGTCTCAAGGCTGTATCAGAGCAGTGTATTGGGTTGTTGTCGGGCAGTGGTATCACTGGATATCAAAAAGGAAGGAGAGAAGAGGAGGACGTCGCACCTGGGCAATAGTTCCATATGCACATGCTCTGAATTCAGATTCAGTTACAGCCCATGTTAGGGTCTTGCATTAGACTCCACTAGAAAATTGTCCCCAGGACAAGAGTCCCAGTTAGTGTCTCTCTGCAGGGCAGTCTGACCTCTCCCCATGTGTCTCCCAGACCTTCCCTTCCACATTTCCCACAGCTAAGGATAAAAGTGGCAGGTTTGCAAAGCTTCTATTTCTGACTCATCTGGCCCCGGGTTTCAAATCTGTTTGCCTCAGTGGTGCTCTGTTTCCCCCTTGCAGTAGCAGTGGAGGGACACGCACAACCCCGGAGCCACGCTCGTCAGCAAATGGTGCTGGGGGAGCCCACGCTGTCCTGGCAAGCTCTGCAGTAGCCATCACGTTTTTGGATCTTTTTGCACTGGAGTAACGGATCCTTTCTAACCTGTGTTCCTCCAGGTGTCAGGACCCAAAAGGCACAGGTGCATTCCTCAGTGCTTTCTTGATGCAAGGGGAATGAAGAGCCTGCCTGTGCCGCCCAATGGACTGCCAGGCCAAAGGTGCGTCTCTTCAGTCTCAGCCTTATGCATTCAGTCCCTTGAAACCAGGTGAAATGGTTTGTCTGTTTACTGTGCGAGGCTCAGTTTGTGTCCCACGTAGCCTGTAAGAAGACTGTAGAGCTGGACTAGACCAGTGGTCTCCAAACTTATTTATAAGTTATATACACGTACTACTCGCGTACTGTATGTGACACATGACCGTCTGACATACGGACCGAGTGAGAGTGCCAGTGTCAATCCACATATTAAATATTAGTAAAGCTTAATTTCTTTCTTATTTTTTTTAGATAAAAATAAATATAAATAGAAGCTCTAATATTTTCTTCCTGCACTCCAATGAATTGTCTTGCGCACCCCACTTTGGAGACCACTGGACTAGATGGCTGTGCTGCTCTGGCCATGGTCAAGATTTACTAATACACCTGCATGCCACAGATACTTTTAGGGCAGTGAAGTGGGGTACTCATTTTTGCTGGACTCTGGAAAGGACTGGGCACCATGAGCCACCGCCTTGTCTGCAGAAATGTTGTTTGCCTTCGCTGTGTGAGGCGTGTAGTCGGCACAACAGGATAACTTCCCAGATACTAGTACGACCGGGAGGGACTGCAAGAACTGAGACCAGAGTCCCTCTTGGGGGCGTGGGGACACCAGCGAGAGTGTATTAGCTCCCTTAGCAAGAGTTCAGCTGCGTGAGCTATTTACTCCCTGGGGACTTGTGCGGAAGGAAGGACTGGCTGTTTAATTGGAGCTTGCTAAATAAACCATTGCTGCTTTCAGGTCATACGTAGTTTTATGAGTCCATAGTAGGAAAAGCAACACAGATGTTCATTTTAGCCTCGCTCTTTCTTACTGAGCCCCTAGCCTTTATATTAAATAGCTACAAGAGAATGGGGCAGAATGTCCAAACTGGATGGCCAGCTTTTGCTGGCTACATCGGCCGGATCTGAAATGCTTCCTGGGGCACGGTGTGGTCTCCTTGTCTGTTCACAATGTGTGGCTCTCAGAAAAAGCACGCATGAATGCGGTACATCATGATACAGGGGAGGGAGGTTTGTTTTGTAAATCTAGAATACCTTAAACAGCCAGCTTACTCAGCCTGTGCTTCAGGCTAGCAGGGGTAGGTCAGTCGAGGTGGCAGGAACTGCCTTATTTTGCATCTGTTCTCAGAGTCACTGCACGCTCTCCAGTTACCATCCAGTAAGACCTTGGGGTGCTCAAGCAACAGATTGCTGTGCTTGTCAGTGCTGTGTTGTCCATGCTGCACTTGTGTAAAGGCAATGCAACGCAAGCTCTTGACAGGCAGAAGAACCATATCCTATTTCTGAAAGGAAAGGTGATTTCTGGAGAACATGGCTAAGCCCTGACACTGTTTCACTGTCCATGTATCTGGCTGTGCCCCGATTAGGAGAATTCACAGTAGCTAATGTGGCAAAACTACTGTTTAGAACAAGTAAGTGCCTCGTTAAACAGTATTTTTTGTCTTGAGTGAGCAGCGGGTGCCAAGAGACTGTGACCCTAAAGAAAGGACTCGCTGTAGACGGTTCTTTCTTGGCAGTCGTGAGCCATCAGCAGCACCTGCAGGCTCCAGATAGCCCTGGCACAGTCCGACGGAGTGTGTCGGTATCAGACTATTTCACTATTTGAATGTTTCCCGACAGTCGGGATGAACCTCCTGGGGTTTCCTCCCCTCTTCTTAGCTTGCTGCGGGTGCTGACTGTTCCCTGCCTTAGTTAAGATGTGCACTGAGACGTGCTTCTGCATGTAGTGCCAACAGAAAACAGCAGTAAATTGGATTAAACGGTCAGAATGCGATGCCTGAGGAAGCAGCGTGGGGGACGAGCTGTGTGCAGGCAGAGGGCAGAGCTTTCCCTACCACTCCAGGCAGTGGGAAGATGCAGCCTGGGAATCCCGAGTGGCCACACGCTGTGAGCCGGCAGCCAGAGCAGGAGTGAAGAGGCAATGTGAGCGAGCTGAGTCTTTTTTTTCCTGAAGTTTGCACAGGACTTGGAGACAGAAGCTTACCGGGGCTGGCTGTTAAAGCTGCTTGTCCGTTTCCAACAGTGTCGCTCCCAGCCAGCAGTTTTGGATGTTTGTGCAGTTTCCGAGCTGGCGTGGGGAGCCCCCTTCCTTCGAATCACTTCTCTTGTGCGGCCTGACTGCATGTTGGGAGTGGGCTGCAGACCCAGGCACATGAGCATAAAGCCCCTGGAAGAGCTGGGCGTGCTCAGTGCTGAGCTAAAGGTGGTGGCCTTCTTGCACATGTACCCGGCTGGTTGGGAAACTGCCTCCTCCCTGTGCAAGTGTAGGCAGCGGGTGTGAGGGCCTCGCAGCTCCTGGTGCGCTTGTTCCTGTCAGGCAGGCTGCTAGCGTGGGGAGGGCAGGAAATCCTCTTCTCTGGTGCCTGTGTTTAGAAGGAAGGGCTTGGTACCGCACCTTTGTGGCCTCGTGCAGTAGGGAAGGGGCCTGGCAGGGCGGTTGGGCACAGAGCTGGCATGTTTGCAGGCTGGGTGCCTGGCTCTTTGTGCAGTTTTAGTTTCGGCTGGCTCAATGCTGTTTGCTTGGAAGACATTTCCATGCAGCCGCATGCATGTGCATTTCTAACTGCGGTGAAGCTGCAAGTTAGTGTCCTTATGTGTTCATGTTGCTCTCCCCGGCGCTTCCCTACACTCGGGGCTTTCCCGCATTGCTGGATGGAGCTGAGCCAGAGATGTGCCTGCAGCAGCATGACCACCGTGCCGGCAGGAAGCCTTTCCAAGCTAGCTTTAACCCTGCCAGCTTGGGCACCAGCTGCAGCCCAGTTGTGGCCACCCAGAGCTCAGCATGGACTGTTTTGGTGTCTGTTGTATTGCAGACCTGCCCCCACTGAACTAGGGGCTTGCTTCTGTGCCTGCAGCTTGTGCAGCTCCTTGTTTGTGTGGGGGTTTGGTGCCGGCCCACGCTGCGCTCCTGTGCAGTGCTTTCCTCAGGCTCGTGTCGCAGATGAGTCACTGTGAGGTGCCTCTCGGTGTCAGGAACCGTGGGTGCAAGCCGGCTGCGCCGCGTGCTGGAGTCGGGGGAGGAGGCGCCTCACGGTGCCCCTCCATCCTGCTGCTGTCTGTCCTCCAAACTCCGATGTCCGCATCTACAGCCCCAAGTGACTTGCGTCTTGTGAGCGCTTCTTCCCTTCCCCCAGTCTCCCTCGGGCATTAGGAATTCCTCTGTTGAATAGTTTTAAGAGTGGCGAAAATTAGAAAGTGGGGGAGGCTGGAAGGGGAGAAATTCTCAGCGTGTGAGATTGTGCTGTAAAGTCCTGCTGATGCTAACGCGGCCTCTCTCCTCCGCTCCTGCCCTTTCCAAAGCATCGCTTCTTTCAGTAGAAAGATGACCCACAAGCATTTTAAGGTGCTTCATGCCCCAGAAGTGAGCGTGTGTTGCTTGGGGCTTCCAAAAACGTCCAGCAGCAGCCGGTGACTGTGGAGGCCAACACCAATCTGCAGTTTACAGGCAGGAACTGGAGGCCTGAGTAAAGGCCTCTCAGGTCTTTGTCCTGGGCTCTTGGGCAGCTGCCCCCTCACTTCACATCCTGTTTGGCACCAAGCAGGCTATCGGTGCTTGATCAGAAAGCCCTCTTCCTTACGGGTTCCCTTGTCATGGCCTCCTGTTGCATGTTAAATGCCTGGAGGCTCTGGGCTCTTATTTCACTTGAGCAATTTTTGTACTCGCAAGGAAAGGACTGATCTGCATCATGATGACTAGAGACCAGCCACTGTCCTGTAAAACATTCCAGTGTAACAGCGTGCCTGCGTGTGAATGAACTGCAAATTGCTTGAGCCTAAGCCTTTTAAAACTGGTTTTGAATGGATTTTCAGTATTACAAAGCACTCCCCACCTTTGTAGGTATGAAAGGATACTGTCCAGAAGAGCTCCCCTCTGCAAACCCTAATGGTGCCTCTCTCTGCCCTGTGCAAGTTTTGCAAATAGACCTTTGAAAAAAGAACATCCCGTGACCTGCACAGGGTCATGGGACCTTTGCTTCTCTTCCCCGAAAGGCCAGATGCAAATCCTTCCCTGAAAGGCTTAAATGGTTGCGCTTTGAGAGTGACTGAGAGGCATCTCTGAAGGTTTCGGCAGATGGCGGGAGGCTTACATCTGTAACAAATCTCAGCTGAATCTGGGGACGTGGGGCGGGGCATGGTACATTTGGCTGGTTTGAAGGCAGTCAGATCTATCCTGTGTCATTTTGGAGAGCAAAATTCAAAGTGCTTTACTGAGAGACTGGTGCAGATCCTGCTGGTTCTCATTAGAAACATGTCTGCTGTTAGCACGTCGCGGCTGACTCTGCCTTCTGCACAGTCGGACGTACCACAGAAACGACGCGCTAAGTTGGCCGGTGTGCCCTCTGGGTTATTCAGTCCAGTCCTTTTATCCCCTGGTTTAGAAAGAAACATCGCCAAAGGTCTTGGTCTCTGAATCTAGCATAGGGACTAATGCCTGTCTCTAAGGGCGGCGTGTCATTATTGCCATTGGGAGTCTTGGGGGCAGATAATGGTGGGTTGGAATTTACCATGTGAGGGGCGATTTTTAATTCCAGTCTGCCCTGATTTAATTGTTGGTGAAAGAAAACACGTTAGCTAGTAGGTGTCTTTGTGCTTTGTATAATGCCACGAGTCTCGGTCCGAGAGGAGGAGGTTGGAATTTTACTAAATATAGGAAAGATAAGTAGGTGAAAAACTTATGTACTTTCAGAGTAGAAGATTAATATTATACCTTATATTTATGGGACAAAGTATTGAGGGGACATAGGACTCATTTAAACAAAGCTTTGTCTTTACTTACTGGTTCTTAAATATATATGGCATGAGCATCTGCACACTTAGGTGATAAATACTACATATGTGTATAAATATATACTATACACATCCAGACGCTGTTTGGTCAGCTTTATAAAGCTTATCAATTACAAATCCTGTCTTTCAGTCAGTTCTAGCTAGTAAGACCGTAGGCGTTTTAAATAAGGTTTTGTTCCATTTTTTTTTTTTTTGAGGGAGTCGGAATCACCGCTTTTATTTTTAACCTAGCTGGGCCCCGTCTTTGGAAGGATCCCTTTTAAACAAGATGTGCAAATAGACTGCAGTAGCAGAGTACTTATGAAGGGAAGGTTTGATTTCAATAAAGTTAAATACAGCTGCTTCTGACAGCTTCTCTCACAGACTGGCAGCTAAATACAACTTCATGTAGTTCAGAGTTTAGGGGAAAAGTGTCAGATTTATGCATTTTCAGCGACAGTATAATATACTGTTCTTTACAAGCTAAACTTTTCTATTGAAGTAAAGTGTGGATTATTTCACTGAGATATGCAAATCCTCTGTTCAGCTACCGCTTCGATGCAGGAACTCTGGAGAAATTGTCCCTGCGACATACAAGTTTTATTTATTGTGCTTTTCTATAGGTAAAGTGGAAAACTGAAGTTGGCTTTAAGTGTTTGCAATCTGAGACATGATGTGAAAAAAAAAAAAAAAAAAAGCTCAACTAAATG